GAGTATTTTAGTAATGCCGGTCATTGTTGTGCCCATAAGCACATAAGCACGTGAAATGTTGTGCCCGTAGCAATCTCTTTTTTTTTTTGCCATGGCTAGGGGTACTACCAATCAAATTGATGATAACCAAATTACATAATTGTTAACAAATTGGTTAAATACTACTAGAAAACGACAAAAAATCCCTAAAGAAATTTACCATCTAATAGGTACACGTAAAGTGAGGCAAATTTAATATTTGTTACTTAAAAAATCCGAACTCATTAAAGAATCAACAATATATGAAATAAACCAAAATTTTTACTTTTAATAATCCCAGACTATACTAAAAGAGCAGACCAAATTTAAACATTTAGCTTGTATCTTTTTACTGCTAAAAAACTTGTACGTATTCAAATTAAATAAGGTTTATTTTAAATATAACATAATAAAGTTCTTAAAAGGAACGCTCTAGTTTAAATATTTTCTTTGCACATTTCAAAAAGTCGTTACTAAACAAACACTACTTAAATTAGAGATTATTTTTAAAAGCAATTTTTTGACACTCGAGAGAAACGATTTTTTTTTTTGCAAAATTTTTCGTTTAATTTAGCATGTAACACCTGAGTTCTAAAAAAGTACCAGTTACCCGGGCAATTGATCTATAACAGACAATCAAACGAATTTCGTCCTTTGACGTGCGAAGTCGATTTTAACCTAATAACCTAACCAATGAAGATCATTGTTGAACAGTGCGATGCTAATCCAAACGCACTGTAACAATGCGACGTTAAAGAGTAGATCAAAAATTTGCGTTGATGGTACCAAACAATTATTAATTCTTCAAAAAAAAACAAACAATTATTAATTCTTCAAAAAAAAAACAAACAATTATTGTGGCAGATTAAAATGAAATCGGATTAAAATGAAATGAGGGATAGTATAAAATAGACAAGCCACCGAAAAATACAAATTTTTGGGATGTATTTTTTTAGCATTTTTTTAGGTTTAGGATTAGGGTTTAGAAGCAGGTTTTATCATAAACAAGTATAAGTGGGTTTTAGGGGGTCAAATAGAAACCCTTCATTTCATTTTAATCTGATTTCATTATGATCTGCGACAATTATTAATTCTTCAAAAAAAAACAAAAAATTATTAATTCTTCAAAAAAAATCAATTAAAATTCAATTAAATAAAGGAAAAAAAAATGGAGTTTTGATATCACCTTGCAGAGATTTAGAGTCCTTAACTACATTTAAGAGTAAATTTGGCTGTTTATGTTAACCGATTTAACAATATGAAAATAAATACGTAATAGTTATTCCACGTTTTATCATAGATATCATAAAACATCATGGGCAGCCGGAGATATTATGCATGATTGCGGTGCAGCCGCAATCATGCATGATATCGGAGGCTGATCCATGATGTTTTATGATGTCGATGACAAATACGTGGAATAACTGATTTATCCTCACGGATCCTAACGCTCATTATTTTTTTATTGTATCTTTACGGCTTTCTTTACAATAAAAAAAAAACCATTCTCAATGAATACTTCAAAATTTAATACTGCTTTTCCGGTTTTTAAAACAGCCAAGCAAAGATTAAAAGAAATAAACACAACTGTTTCAGTTACATCTAATACCATTTTAACTGATGTGCAAAAAAAAGCTGCATATTATCGTAAAAAGGCCAAAAATAAAAATATGAAAAGATCTACAAAAAATTGGATGATGAAATTTGAAGAATTTCATACTAGCTCTGGATATTAAACCCCTTTAACAAACTTAGATGATGAAGACAAATCGAAAAAGAAATTGTTGAATACATTTCAGGCATGAAAAAAAAAGATGGTAACGATTATAGAGCAAATTCTATTAAACAAGCAGTAGATGCGATTAGCAGATTTTTATTTTATAATTCACCAATTTGAGTTAATTTACATGATTGATATTTATTTCTGGATTTGTATACTGTTTTACATGGAAAAATGTGTGATCTTCAAGAACATGGATTTGGTGAAATCAAGGGATCAATTGCTTTAAATTCACAATAAATTTAAGAAATTTTACAACACTCTAGAATTGATCGTAGCAATCCAGTAAATCTATTATATCGTATTTTTATACGTTTATCAATTCTTCTTGCGATGCGTGGTGGTGAACACTATCAACTTAAGGTTGATCAGTTTAAAATTGATAAGCATAGTGGTTTACAATTTTTCCATTATACATCTAAAAATAATCAATGTGAACTTCAAAAAGGTCAAGCACAAGTTATTTCAATTCCTTTAGATACTGTTGGACCATGCAATGATATAAAATTCTATTTGTCAAAATGACCTTCTGTAGCTGATCCAGAATTTTATTTGCAACCAAGTTTTGATTGGATAGAATCGGGTAATTGGTATAAAAAGAATCATGTAGGAAAAAATAAATTAATGAATTTCATGCGTGAAATTGGACGTATAACACAAATCGATATTCCTATAGAGTTACTTACAAACCATTTTGGGCGAAAAACTGCTGCTCAATGTTTACAAGATAATGATGTTCCAGAACAGGCAATTATACAACTCACAGGACATAAAAGTGTTCAAGAAATTCATGCTACAAGCAGGTTAATGAGGATCAACAACTTAATACTATAAACACTTTGATCAATATTACGGATGGTTTTGCAAATAATAACAATACTAACAATAATAATTCAAGTTCATGAAATCCTCTACAAGAAATTACACACAACATGAATTTTTCAGAAAATAATTTTAATTCTAGCAATGAAAAATTCTCCCAAATGCTAATTTTTAATAATTGTTTTTTTACGAATGTTACATTTAATATTCAAAAATAGCAAATTCATTAATAAATTAGAATTTTAAAGCTTAGTAAACATTTATGACTATAACTATGCAATAGTTTGTAAAATTACAATTGCGCAATTATTACATAATAAATACAATTAAAAATTCATAATTCTTAGCTATACAATTTTTAGAATACCGAATATTTTTTATTATAATAACATAAATTTAATACCTATTATGACATCAGCCATGAAGATATCAGTCATGAAGATATCAACTATAAATATATTAAGTATTGTGACGTAAGCTATGAAGATATTAGTAAAAAAAATCATGAGTGAACAATTAGGAGCCGTGGGATAATTTTATTTATTCTCTGAAGCAGACAATTCTTGTTACACAAACTACTAAATTTGAAACCTATAACTCAGGGTCGATCTATCCAATAAAACTACGAATTTGTCAATCACATGAAATTAAACAACTTATTATAATTGGCTATGTTTTGCACGTGATGATCAGCAAATCAAAATTTATTTATAATTTAGTAATTATATGATGTTTTAATAGTTTTTATTGAGATATCTCATGATCTAGTTGCTAGAATTTGATCATTTTTATAGCATTAGATTTGTCTCGATGAGATGAATCTAATGGTATAAAAATTATCAAATATTACTCATTATATCATAAGATATTAAACGCTCTACTTGTCTATATTTCTCTTAATAAAAATTCGTTTTTTTTTTTTTTTTTTTTATATAGAGTGAGGCCTGGCCTTGGTCTTTATTGAATAATTTATGCGTTACATTAAAATAATGAGTTACATGAATTACTACAGGGACCTACAGCTAGGACTACTTTATCCTCAGCCTAAAACTCTACTAGAGTAAGCTAACAGACCTCATCTAGATTTATAGTAGCGATGTAAGACATAGAAATATTAGTGGTGGGGAAGATGGTTGCCTACTTGTTAAATCTTGCTATACTATATTGTGATGTGGAGAGGTGATCTGGAGGGGTATAGTAAGTGCGTTAGATGTTGCATCCTGCTGGTGTATTGCTATGCACCGAGCATGCCATATTGTTTTGTAAATATTCTTAGAGATCTTATGCAGTAATTGGGTGTAATAGTTCTTAGATAAGGTAGTCAACTCCTGAATATTAGGCGGAGCAAACCCTTGTATTGCGGCTATGGAGAGAGAATAAAAATTCGTTTTTTATACATAGATTTGATAAATATATTCTCTAATTATTTTTAAATTGGTTTTAAATCGATTTTAAATCATTTCTAAATCGTTCTATTACATATTTCAAAATTTTAGTTAGTAAAAATTTAACTTACAAAATAATAGCAAATTTATTATATATAACTTAGTTTTGAACAATATAAAAGTCGGTTAACTTATCTTATTATTCTGCTTTTCATATAAACACTATTTGAGCTCGTTTTGCATTTTCTAGATCTTAGTTTCATTTCCATTTGTTTTTAGTTTTAACGCTAAAACGTCTTTGTTTCTTCGAATTACAAGTTTAACTACCTTAAATCTCTTATAAACTTCGTCTCTAATAAAACTTTCTAAATATTGTGATTATTTTTGATTAATTTTAACAAAAGACGGGCAATATGAAGAACTTTTACTATCTTTTTTTTTTTAACAGATTAATTTGATAGGTTTCAGAAAATCACGAGAATAAAAAGTACTTTAAAGCGTATAAAAAATTACAAAAATTTTTTATATTAAATTAGCTAAGCAATTGTAGATCATCACCTTTGTCCACCATGCCTGAAGCGGAAATATTTTTTCGGATTTTTTCTGTTCCGGTAAATGCCGAATAAAACTAGTTTAAATTTCTTTATTTAGAATTAATTATAATATGCATAATTATTAATTCCTCAAAAAAAAATAAACAATTATTAATTCCTCAAAAAAAAACAAACCTGTTAATTCATCATCTTTGAAGATTAAAAAAAAAAAAAAAACAATTGTTAATTGATTCATTGACGCCAAAAAACTAAGTTTGGTAAATCTACAAAATTAGACATGCAGATATCGTAAAATTTATTATGGATTCTTTCTGATCAAATGTACTAGATACTATCTAGAACTGAATATACTTATATAAACGTAAAATCCAAAACTTATTTGCTTCTTCATAAAACTTCAAGCTCTACTACAATTATTGACCGTTTATTTTATATACTATATTAACATAAACTTTAAGTTGTGTTAAGATCAAACGTTCGTTATCAATCTTGCGTTTTTATACTTTTTTTATCCGCATAAAAGTATTTTAATCGATGTTATCTCGGAGACCGTGTAATTATGCTACTATAGCATGTATTAATTGTCGAAAGAAGCATAAAAAATGTTCAGGGACAGTTACTTGTTCCAATTGTGCAAAACATGATCTTAAATGTATTTTCATTAACTCGGGCCAAAAACGTGGTCCAAAACCAAAGTCTAAGATGTGCACTAACCCACATAATCCGTATGTACGTGATCATAGACGTGGAATGCAGTTCTCTACAGACTACATGCAGGCTCACTCGCATGCGCAAAAGATTTATATTACATCATCATATAATTTAAATCAAGAATTTAGAACGCTACAGCCTAATAGTTATGATGCTATTACTCAAGAAACAATCTTCTCCCCTCAAGCAGATTTAAATTCTGACTATACTGCGGCTATAAATAAAAATCAAGATACCACGCACATTAATCTTATCGATAACTTACCACTTTTATCACATGATAATTTTCTATTCCCTAAAGATAATAGAGTAATAGAATCGTCCCTTTCTACTAGTTACTTAAATAGTCTTTCTGATACTAGTGAGTTATCTAATTTGTCAAGCAGACAAGTTTTATTCGATCCTCTTAATTCGGACAATTATTACGTTCATGATCAATACAATGTAATGCAGTTATCCTTAGACTCTACGCAGGACAACTCTTCCACACAAAATATTAATATTACATCATCAGAATATTTTAATAATTTAAATCAAAATCAGCTTAGAACGTCACGGCCTAATAGTTATAATGCCATTATCCAAGAAATAATCTTTTCCTCTCGGACTCCTATGAGTAATCAAGATAGAACGCCCATTAATTTTATCGATAACACGCAACATTTATTGCATAATAAAGAGTTATCAAATTCATCAAATAGTCAATTTTCATTCGACCCTTAATTCGGACGATTATGTTCACGATCAATACAATGAAATGCAGTTATCCTATTTAGATTCTATGCGAGATAATTCTCCTGCACACATCATCGGAATATTTTAATAACTCGAATTTAGAACACGAAACAAACATCTCTCGGGAATAAATAATAAATTTGGTCTTATTAATGGCATAAATCTTATTTTTGTATCATCATTATTTATAACCATTATTTATTACCCAATAGTTATGCAATTGTATTATTAATCAATCAATTTTTTTATTCCTTTTTTAACTTAGACGATTACCGTATAGTTCCGAAATTAAGCACCCCCCGAAATTAAGCACCACCGACAGTTTGTACCTTCTCCAAAAATAAGCACCCCCCACATTTTATATTAGTTTTACCTCTCTGATTTCACATTAATAGGTTTTAATATATTTTATTTATTTATTGTAGCCAAATACTTAAATTATTCAATTAAATTATGCAGCTTAGTTATACAACTCGTAATTACAATAAAAAAAAAACTAATTATCGCTAATATCCTTATCGTTGCCAATGTCCATAACTTCACTAATGTCTATAATTTCAATATCATCGCTAATATCCATAAATTCAATATCATCGCTAATATCCATAAATTCAATATCATCACTAATATCCTCAATATCCTTATTTATATCTATAATTTCAACGTCTTTACTACTAAGATCTACAATTTCAACGTCTTTACTACTAAGATCTACAATTTCAAAGTCTTTACTACTAAGATCTACAATTTCC